CCGGGCCGGGCCGGGCTCGGGGAGGCTCCGTGCAGCGCCGCCGCAGCGGAGCGGAGCCGAGCGCCCGCACGGCCTGGCTGCCGCGCCGCTCCCCGGTGCGCGATGCCCGCCCCACGTGTGCCGCCCGGCGCGGGGGCGACGGCGCCCGGTGGCGACCCGGCGGAACCGGCAGCGGCATCGGCATCACCGGCGCCGTGCCCGGCGGGCGCTTACCTTGCTCTTGACCTCGATGACGGGCTCGGCGGAGCGCGCGGGCGTGCGGTGGTGCTTGGCCATGGTGCGGGCCGGGCCGGGCCGCGGGGCCGCGCCGCCACCGCCGCTCCCGCGGCCACGGGGGATTTTCACCGGCCATGACGTCACCGGCGGGCCGGCCGGGCCCCGCCGCGCCATTGGCCGGGGCCGCGCGGGGGGCGTGGCCCGAGGGCTCCTGACAACGTCGCCGTGGTAACGGGGGCGGGAGAGGGCGGGCGGCAGGACCCCCGTCCCTGTCCCCAGCCCCGTCCCTGTCCCCAACCCCGTCCCTGTCCCCAACCCCGTCCCTGTCCCCAGCCCCGTCCCTGTCCCCAACCCCGTCCCTGTCCCCACCCCCGTCCCTGTCCCCAGCCCCGTCCCTGTCCCCAGCCCCATCCCCGGCCCCATCCCCGACACCCCGGCCTCGCCTGGCCCGGGCACCGCTCCGCTCGCCAGCGGGACGAGCTCGGGCTGGGACGGCACCGGGCACCGCGCCGGTAACCCGGGCGTCCCATGGCTATCAAGAACCTCATTAGCGGCACATTGAAGCCAACAGCGGCGGGCCCTGCCCCTCTTCGGGGACACTGGGCTCTGGCACGTGTCCAGCACTCCCACTGCATCCCCACGAGTGTCACCGGTGGAAGCTTTGGCCCCGCCTGGGGATATCCTGGTATTTCCCCATGTTGGCGGAGGGCCCTGCCTCTCCCACCGACCCGGCGCTGCTGCTCCCTGTGCCACCGGTTTAGTGGCCTTTGGCAGAGGCACCTCTGGTAGCAGGGGACAGTTTCCAGCTGTGCCCTTCATTTCCCGCCTGCTGGTTAAAGGTTCCCTCCAGTTTTTCTCCTCTGTCTGGCAGGAGAGTTTTGTGCCGCCCCAGAGCAGCACAGGCCAGGGAACGTTCATTATTTTGGGGATGAGTTGCTTTACTGAGTGGTGGAACAACTGAGCGAGAGGACGAGAAACGCTCGAGTTCACCGGGTGTGTGGCAAAGCCTCACTGTGTCCATCCCAGCACCAGGCTGCCAGGACATGTAGCCAGAGCACATCTCCTCAGCGCTGCTGGGCTGTGTCCACGGGTGATACCCTCGGGATGTGGCTCCAGCAGAACTGTCCCTGCTCAGGCACTGAAACACCCAGGGACAGGCAGGCAGCCCCTTCCCTGCAGACCGCTCTGTGGAGACAAAGCACACTGAGAGCTGCCGGCACCAGGGTCACCAGCACCGATCCAGACCAAAGGCTTGTTCATGGGCTCCGAGGAATCTTGGAGCCAAAGGGGCCGTGACAGAAGCGCCATGAAATGTTTTTTAAAGCCAGACACCTAACGAGCACAGCACTTCCAACAGAATGAAATAATTGAACTGAGTCCAAAGAATCAGCCTGGCTTGTCTGGATCACACTCCCCTTTGACCCTTGCTCTATCCCAGCCCACAGAGCAACCTTTGGATGGCACAAAATTGCATCAGACCCCGGCTTTTAAACAGAGTAATTGTGCTGAGGTCAGAGAGATAATCCTGATTTACACCGGAGTTAATATTTACGCAGGCACTGGTGACAAAAGAAGCTTGCAGCCCTTCATCTCCAATTTTGGTAAATCAGGGTTAATTGTTCAGCAGGACCGTGGGGTGACGTGCTGGTCACACCTTCTGTTTTGTGGCATGGCTCCAAATCTGCTGCCACAGAGAGAGTTAAGCTAAGCAGACAGTATCAGGGCAGGCATTTGTTTCGCTTCAGTCCTAGGAGCTCTGAATCAGCCTCTGGAACTGGAGCACGTGGTACCAAGTGTCCAGACGTGCCCACTGACTCCAAATCCACCTGTTCTTGGCTGCTCTGGGTGTGGGCAGTGAGGGCCTGACTCTTCAGGGGGCTTAGCATGCCCAGGCGTGGAGTGGGGCTGCAGAGGTTTAGCACTGAGGTAGGTGGTTACTCCAGCCCCTGCTCCAAGCCAGGTCAGTGCTGGGTTCAGGTAAGTTTGTCCAGCACATTCCTATGAGTGGGCAGCTTTCCCAGCAATGGCTTGGGCAGGGGATGGGCATGTGGGCAACTCAGGTGAGCTCTGCCCCGCCTGCCTGTGACAGGGGGGAGAAACACAGGAGCCTGAGCTCGTGGCAGACCGGCTGTGGCTACAGTGGCTCACCTGGTCCATTGGCCAGCAACAGCACAGGGAGTCCCAGCAAAACACACACTCAGAGCCTGAGATCCTGGTTTTACTCCAACATCTCCACAGCCTTACCCTGTCCCTGCCATTCATGGGAGCCCTCTGGGCACTCCGAGCAAAGGTTACAAACAAGTGAGCAGCAAAGTCACCTTGATGCTACTGGGGGGCATTGTCAAGGGTGGCCCTGGACACTGCGTTTGCCTTTCTTTCCCTCTTCCATTGCCATTAGGAGTTGGGGGTCAGGAATCATAGCCTGTGCCAAAAGAGCAGCACAGAGAGGGCAGAGCAGGCAGGAGCACAGCCTCAGTGCTGCCTGTGGGATGTAGCAGAGGAATGGGCTCTGATGGTGTTGTCCACCCTCACAAGGATGTACCCTGGCAGCCGTGGAGGGTTCGTTGGATCAGACCCAGGCTCAGCTCATTTCTTTATGATTTTGCTTTCTCGGCGGCGGTGCCCTGTGGCTCAGCTCTTCCCCGGGATGATGATGCACCCCCGTGTCTTCTCTGGCTGCAAAACCCAATGCTGGCCGCGGACTCATCCATGCCTTCGGGCAACAGGTCTGGCTGCCAAGGAACACTGAGCAGCTCCCGAAACACGCTGAGTAAATAAATACCTGGTGCCGAGAGATAAAACTGCTTCTCGCATCCCTACGGTTTGGTTTCAAAGGACGCGAAAACCCCCTCCTGGTGCACCGGGATCATTACCACTGGTTTTCCCGATGCTTGGTCGCATCTCAAAAGGAAGATGGGCGCGAGCAGGAGGACTCAGAAGCTCCTAGTCCACGTTTTCACGTCTTTTTATTTTTTTTGTCAGTAAAAATTTCATGAATTATGAACAATAACACCTGCACACTCCTTTTGGCCCCGCGCAGAAGCGCGGTGTGTCCTGTCCCCGCAGAGTCAGCAGAAAAACCGCTGAGGCAGCTGTGCAGATGTGATAAAACAACCACAGGGTGAAAAAGGGGATGTTTCACCTGGACCAGGCAGGGTGCAGCACCTGCCAGGGCCCCACAGAGCTGTGCTGCCCCGACGGGTCTGGCACCTGCCAAGGCCCCACAGAGCTGTGCGGAGGGGAGAGGGAAGAGCGAAAACAGGGGGGCCCTAAAAACGGTGTTGCTGCTGGGGCTGACGTTGTGGAGGGCGGTAGGACAGCGGGCACAGAGGGGACAGCGGAGACAGCACCACGGTTCCGGCATGGCCGCCATCCCCTTACGGCCCGGGCGGGGCGGAGCACGGTCCCCATGGTGACGTTTAGCCCCGCCCCTCATCCGGCACCGCCCAATCAGCGCCCCTGCCTCCTCGCGGAGGAGCACGCGGGGCCCCGTCCCATTGGCCCACGTGGAAGTCCCCGCCCCCTCGCCCGCCGCGTCGAATCAGGTGCAGCCACCGCGGCCCTGCGGCGGGGCGGGCCCCTATAAAAGCCTTCCCGGAGGGGAAGCGCCGCCGTCGCCCGTCCCGTCCTGTGCTCGTCATGGAGGAGCCGCTGGCGCTGCTGGTGCGGAGCCCCTCGGGGCGGCACGACGACCTGCGGCTCCGCGCCGCGCCCGCCTGGACCGTGCGCCGCCTCAAGACCGAGCTGCGCCAGCTCCTGCCCGACGCGCCGGTGAGTGCGACACCCCCCTGGCCCTCCTTCCCCTTCCCGCAGCCCCGCCGGGTGAGGGGCACCGGGTCCCCGCGGGGCAGCGACGAGAGCTCCCGTGGGACTCCTGTGGGGCTCCTGGGCCTGTCACCTGTCTGTCCCCCCGCCCCAGGGTGTCCTGGTCCCAGCACCTGAACCCCCCCGCCCCGGGGTGTCCCGGTCCCGGTTGCATCAGCCTCGGGTTATTTTGGGACTCGGTGTGTGGCTCGGCCGCGGTTAATCATTAACCGCCCTCCCGGGACGGCGTGTCCTGCGGGTGTTTGGAGACGTCATGGCCGGCGGGAGGCACCGGGCTGTGCCGGTGAGCACCGCGCCCACCGGGAGCAGCGAGCGCGGAGGCTCCTCCGGCGGGGTTTGGAGGCTGTACCCGCCGAGCGGGAGGCACAGCGGCGGGACGGGGCTCGTGCGGCTGTTCGGGGTTGAAATGCAGAAGTGTCGCTGCCCCCTGAGCCGCAGGACTCGAGGGCTGACACGTGAGAGCTGCTGGAGCAGCTGCGCCCCGTGACCCGCCGCTCCCACGGGAGGCGTCCCCGCAGGAGGGGGTGTGCTCTTCACGGGGCCAGAGAGGTTGGAAGAGACCTCCGAGACCGTCAAGTCCGACCTTTGGCCGAACACCACTGTGCCCGCTAACCCGTGTTGTGAAGTGCCATGTCTGCTCGTTTTTTGAAGACTCCCAGGGACTGTGACTCTGCCACCTCCCTGGACAGCCCGTTCCAATGCTTAACCACTCCTTCAGTGAAGAAATATTTCGTAACATCCTGAGCCTGCTCTGGCGAGCCTAAGGCTGTTTCCCCCTGTCCTGGTGCTTGTTGCCTGGGAGAAGGTCTGACTGCCTCTTGCTTTTGCCCTGCTCTCCAGGGAGTGAGATGACTGCCCAGAAACAGGCTCTGGGCCTGCTGTGCTGCAGGAGGAGAGCTCCTGGGACTCACTGGATGGGCTGTAACAGATTTACAGCTCTCCTGCTGATCAGATTAGAGAGAACTCCAAACCTGTTTCTGGGAAACACAAGTGTTTTTGTCAGGATTGTAAAAGAGATGGCACGTAACCAAGTCCTTTGCCAAAGGTGCTTTATATCCTCCTGCTGTTTTAGACCTCACTCAAGTAATTTAGACGTCACTCAAGTAATGTCAGACTTGGGCATTCAGTTGTGCACATCTAAATTCAGCTAAAGTGAACAATTCCCTCTGCCCCTTAATGTGTGGGGTGCTCCCAGCTCCATACCTCTTGTCTGGCTGTAAGTTGTGTCAGTAGTGCTCGTGTGTGCTTGGCAGAGA